CCCCCTTTTCATAATAATATGTTGTAAGCCTACACTTTTCACCCAAGGAAGGTGCACTCTGATGCCCCCCCTCCTCTAAAACTTTGAATAAGTCACAAGATCAGGCCGTCTGTAATTAGTATTTAGAAGATAGGTTGCAGTTTAATGCGATTTCGTATTCCCACCTCAAAGCCTAGGTAGACTTATGTGATACAACATGATAGACCATAAATGATACCAAATTCACATGTGTGGAAAAACATTGCCGATTTGGAGTGTGATGTGACATCACTGTCATGAAATCAAATCACGTGGGTCAAGGTCAAGTCAGTCATATCAACGCTAGGTCTACGATAGGCCTAGATCTAGTGCCTCAAATAACCCAATTTATTAGTGGACTGGCGGACCTATTTGATGTAGATCTAACGACACAACATAATGTAAACCAATTTGAAAGAAAAAAAAAGAAAGATTGAAAAGTAGCCTAGCCTTATCCGAAAGTTCAAATAGGGCCCTACAGGCTTAATATTGTTACTTTTTTTATTCGTTAGAGAACGCAGACAGCTTGTATACATTCTCTAACGTTAGAGAACGTAGACACTTCCGTAAATCTATATAAATGTGCATCTAAAAATAATGGACACCTGAACGACGATTGGGGAAGTCAGAAACGGTGCTGTACCTTCATTGAACTCCAAATAAAGCAAAGATCATAAAATCTACGACTAAAAGAACGTTGAAGTTTATTGGTTATCGACGTGCAATAGTATTGTTATCGTTTGTTGCAGAGTTTTTGTTTTTGATTGTAGTTGTTTTCTTTTATGGTTGTAATTTTTGTAGTTGTAGCAGCAGCAGTAGTGGTAGTAATTTCTACTGTTCTCGTTAAAGTGTTGTTCATGTAGATATTGTTGTTGTTTTTGCTGCTGTTAGTGTTGTTGTTGTTCCGGTTGATGACTTCGCTAACCAGTCCAATAACTGTAACTCTTCATAAAAAATTTATTGGAATAAATCGATGAATAATAATGAGAAATAGAAGGAGAAGACAACAGTATGGTAACTGCAGCCACTTGCCCAAACTAAAGCCACATATTTAACACGTTCACTAAATTCCAGAAATATCCTCAATGAAAGTGGAGAAAAAAACAACAACCTCTCATCACAGAAAAAGACAGATCAGCAAAACGAGAATTTAAGCCACACCCGTTTCACAAGCCATCTTCCCCCACAAACATTCAAAGGAAAGACTAGAACTACCAGCTAGCTCCCCAGCGCTTCAAACACCATGTACAAACACTCGTGTGATAGCGCCCATCCACCCATGCATGCACATATTATTATATCTGTCCGTGTGTCTCTTTCTTTTTCTCTCTGTCTCTCTCTGTCTTTCTCTTTCGGTCTCTCTGTGTCTGTCTGTTTGTCTGTCAGTCTGTCTGTCTGTCTCTCTTTTCGTACGTTTGTCTTAGTGTTTGTGTGAGTGTGTGTGTGTGTGTGTATGTGTGTGTGTGTGTGCGTGTGCGTGCATGTATGCGTGCGCGCGCGCGTGTGTGTGCGTATGTGTGTGTGTGTGTGTGTGTGTGTGTGTGTGTGTGTGATTGTGCATGCATGCGTGCGTGTGTGTGTGTGTTTGAGAGGACAAAACCCGTCCTCACGAAAATTAGATCGCACTCTTTCACCTTGACGGCATCTCTGAACAGCATTCATTACGAATGCACAAACACAACTGAAGCGCTTGAGGTAAGCAGCAACATCTTTTTTGCACAGTCATTGCGGTGCACCCAACCAGAGAGCCTGAGATAAGCAGAACTGTACGTTCCCATTAGCCGTTAGCCTGCAGCCCACCAGATGCTCCAAACACAATGCAGTCCCTAGCTTAGCTGACATTACAGAGGCGTAAGTGCGCTTCTGAACACGCATACTACACAAATGTTAATGCCGCTTAAACAAGAGCTCAGATACGTATACAAATATTATTGTGATATAATCGTTACAGAAACTGTAAATGCCAATATCCGACTGTCACGACGAACTGGTAGCAAAAGCGCAATGACAAATATCGTTTCTAGCACGCAACAATGCCGATATCGAAGACAAACAAACAACAACAAAAAACCACACACATACGCACACACACACATGCACGCGCGCGCGCGCACACACACACACACATACATACACACACACACAC